ACAATCAAATGAAAATTGCTTTATGGAAGGATAATATTAACAAGAGTAAGAATGCTGAATCGTACACCTCAAAAGTATTCTGTATTGTAAGTTACAACACTTTTAGAATTTTCAGCTGGCGTCCTGAAAGGGTTCGTTATAATGAAACTTTTAGAGAAAATTAGTAGTATTTCAAAAAAAGCAGCTTTTAATTTGCTATTCACGCTTTTATACATCGAACATATGTTATTTCTTATGTCGATCAAATTGCTATTGAGGGTGACATGAAAAGGCCAGTGATGTCATGATGAGCCTAATCATCCAAGAAATTAGCAATTTAAATATGCATTGGTGAATATAACAGAGAGGCTCGGTGAAGCCGGAACATTGAATGCACCAAAAAGCACATCCATTTTGATATGAAAAGACGAGAAGCTGTTAGCAGGCTAAAATTTGGAGGATGTAAGAACTTTGGGAGGTCGAAAATGCAGAGAAATTGGCTTTTGAAAACAATTCAATTCGTTGGCTTTCGCTACCAGTTTCCCTGCTGTCCCATGTTTATGATTTTGAATGTTTTCTTCAGCTCAGTTTATAATCTGGTCAACCTGTGTTGTTAGCGTAACAGAATTTAAGTTTCTGAAAGTTTTCTGCGTTTCCTTCCGTAACTGAAAACCTTACGCTGATTATCAAAGTGCGGCGAAAACTAATGACAAGAAAAGTGTCTCAGCGAGGGCGGTTGTGAATGCAAACACCTTTCTTATAACCAATCAAATCAAGCTCAGATTTGGCTAAATTACAGTAAAGTGCAAATGTGCTTGTGGTACTTCTAGTAATTTTCAATCTGCAAGCGTCCCTGAATGAACATCTGAATTACTCTGTAGGTATTTACTTGTATGTTTTTTTTATTCTGTATTTTGCCCCTCCAACTCATTGAAGGGGCAAAATACAAAAAACTATGTTTTTAGATCTAGTGCTAGCGTTTGCTGTGGCTTCGTTGTTATACTCCAACGCAAAGCATAATCTGTCTAAGGATCTTCATCTCAAACAAATCCCGAATTTTAATCGCCAATTAACGGGACCTACACGCGGCCTTTAATGTCTTGCAGACACGTAAAAGCCAAAGGAAGTTGCCAATTATCTATTTTTGTAAGGTTCCCTGTACGAGTTGACCAGTCTTGCTTCTGTTCTGCAACGTAAGAAACTACTTACATTGATCATTAAGAACATCCTTTCTCTGCTCATTGACACAGTGAAACAAAATGTCATCTGGTCTCTGGGCATATCAAGTTAAAGGGTAAAACACAATTAACGAAAAAATAACATATTGCTCACGCCGGCCACAGCTTGACATAACTCATCAAGAAACCCGACTAGGGGCATTAATCGTTTCTCGTGGCCAATTAAATCGAGTATTTCAACGCCGGACAAAATTTAAGTCAGTTCCTTTGTTGTGTTAATGGTTTGCAATACAAGGCGGACACCTGCAAACATATGTGAGTAAACAGTTTAGTCTCGGCATCCTTCGAATCCACTTCGTATCTTAACTAAAGTTGATTAAAGTACTGCCTCACGGAAAAGAAGGCTTTGTCACGGCTAAACTGACACTCTCAGTTAATTCGTCCACCGGTCTTATGCCTCAGTTTCAAGCAAATTAGCATTATGAATAATTCCACTGACAGCTCGGCTCGCAGCTGCAGAACTCAAGTTCCAAACCTTCAAAACTAGAAGATCCGCTGTATTCTGCCATCATTGCTAATATTGTTTTCAATGGTTGTCTCTGTTATCTGACCATTATGCTTAACATTGTAACCATCCACGCTTTGCGAAAAACATCTACACTGTCGATGCCTTTAAAATCGTTTCTGCTAAGCCTTGCTGTCTCTGATCTTGGTGTTGGTTTGCTGGCTCAACCTTTATATATCGCTTATCTGGTCGTGTTATTACGGTGAAACTTGTCAAATCATACCGTCCTTTTGGCTTGCACTCGTATTGTTGTGAACACTGTTTGCCAAGCTTCGTTTTTTAGTATTATGGCCTTAAGAACAGAAAGATTCATTGCCATTCAAAAACCTCTACGATACCGAGATATTGTTACTCAAAAACGAGTTGTTACTTTGGCCATCACAATATGGCTCTGTAGCGCAATTTTGTGACTGTCCTTTGCAGTTTTGTTTCCAGTGAAGTTCAATACCATAAGTTTTGCCATTATAGAATCCTTCTGCTTTGTTGCCACAACATGGTCTTCTTACAAAATATGCTTAACCGCAAGACGCCACAACACACAAATGCGAGCCCAAGTACAACAGGTTTCACAAAACAGCGACGTTGTAAAAATTGCGAGTCTCCGAAAATCTGCCCAAAGTACTCTATCTATCTCGCATTTTGGGTTTTTTACCTGCCTCGATACTTTATCGACATAGTACTTCAAATAAAAGCAAGCAAAAATATGGCTGTTGACATTTTGGACGGGTTCTCGACGACCCTTGTTTTCCTTAATTACTCCATCAACCCCATCATCTACTGCTGGACAATGAGAAACATTCGACACACCGTAGTGGGCATTCTTCGATGCGTATTTCGGAGGCAATAATGCTTCTTGAATTTGCACGGAAAATGTACGGAAAATTGCACGGAACCATGTTGCTGCGGTAAAGACACTGTCTTCGGTTACATGGCTTGGTGGAGCGCCGCCCTCCGGCCACCCTGTGAAAAATATGTTCAAAATAATGACCTTGCTGGATTAAAAAGTTTAGAATTTTAGAATTTTGATTTTTGCTGGCCTTAAATGCATATGAAAAATATGCATTCAAATTAAATGAGATCTCCGGTGACTGGTGTTTCCTCCTTTAACTCGGTCACCCACTGTTGAAAGATGATACACACTCCACACACATTAATGGATACTCAGTACAACAAATGAATGATCAAGCGGCGTTAGACAGATAGTTACTAAAAGACGGTGCAGCAAGATGGAGAATATAGCAAGCATCTGTATATATATTTTGTCTCAACTTAGTATTCTACGGATTATTTGATTACGTTCTTATGAAGTTTGCAGTGCCTTGCACGGAAGTAAGCAATTCTTTATCGAAACTCACAATTATTGATTATACACACCTAAATACGGCACCAAGCATTCTAGTATATGTAGTAGGTCTTAGTAAAGAGCAGTTTAAACTTGACTGTCAAAAGAAATTCTTGTTTGCTTTAGTTTTGTATTAGAGCGCTATGCGATCTTGCGCCACTTTTTAGAAGTCCATAAAAACCGAAAACATCCTGATTCACTCATATACGTTTTCCCGCGCTTCGTGTCAGTTGCATGGCTTCGCTTTGAGTCATGATTGGTTCACTGGATTGTCTGTGTGCTTTGTGATATGTCAGAGTGTTTACTTTAGTTTCGGTTTTACGACACTCAATTGAAAACCGCTCTATTACCGAAGTCAAGGCTAAATTTTCTGACCAGCCTCTTAAAAGCGTTTGTGGTGATGGGAAATGCTAAAATCCTCGTTGGAGCATTAAATAAAATATGGATATGAACGCAGATTTTTCGTTGTCTTTTATGCTTTTTTAAACACCGACTAAACCCCATAATCCTTGTTATTCAAAATAATTTTTTGAGGTACATTAATATTTGCAAAACTTATTGTAATATGGCCCTAAATATAAAGGTAGCCATTGTTTAGGCTTCGCTATTTACATAACAATCAAGTCTGGCATGAAAGTAAAGTTTGCTCAATAGTTCACAATATTATTATGCCAGTGTAAAATGAGCTAAACATTTTGAACAACAAGATATTTTAAAGACATTGGGGTGTTAATTATGATAATAGTACTTTATTTTACTAGGGAAACATTGATTAGTGATGACGCAGTAGTACATATAATGGCCCTCCCTAAGCTAATCTAAAACCAGAGTGCAAACCAAAAATCTGATAATACTGATAAATTAATCACTACATGTAGTTAATATTAAAATGCTCATTAACGGAGTTTACTAACGTCATTTTTCGTTGGATTTCCATTAAAAAGCGCTTCTGTCAAAGTGCGTCCCTAACAGATGGTTCAATTCTGTTCCACAGACGAGTTGCACTGGAATGGAAAGTCCCGAGACCTGAATTTATCTTATACTTTGGCGTAATAAAATCATTTCTTTTTGAAGTTCTTGTGTTGCAATCGTTACAACTCTTGACATGGGTCTTCGCAGTTTCAGTCACAGAGCAGATTTTCTATGCCCTAAGAGGCTCGGTGGCTTTGAGACTTCAATTGCTTTATTGTACTGCCTTGGTTTCTACTATAAAACCTGATAAACCTCCCTGTTTTCAGTTCAGTTCAGTCTTCCCAGAGATCTTCATCTTAATAAAAAATACGAAAGCATGTCTCATTTTGATTTCGAATCAACGAGACAGCCTTCAATATTGCAGTTTTACATGGATAAAGAATGAAAACAAATAACTTATTTAGCCCTCATTACGTTGATGCAGTGTGAGGGGTAAAGCAAAGTAAAAGTAAAACTTTATTTAAACAGGGAAGCCCGTTCAGCTTAAAGGCTGATATCCATAGGAGCCCTGTATAAATAACATCAGGTTAAAAATACAAATTTATGTACACAGGGTTCCTTAAATGGGTGTTAAAAGAATTCCTTAAATGTGTTATCTTTCAAGTTTACATCTTTTGTCCTTAGCGTGGGTAAAACTGATATACAGCAGACTGTAAGCAACAGCTGAAAACCTTGAAGGAGTTTAATCAGTTCTGTTTTTGCCTGGTTAGCAATGGAGAGTTTTTGCCTGTTGTGACAAATTCAAACCAGGCTAATAACCGGTCTCAGGGCGTATCAATTTTCTGAGTAAAACAAATATAGCCAAGAAATTAAAAACACAATTTCCGTAAATGACAAAGCAATACCATGACATGCAATAACGAGGAAATCCTCAGTGTCATTGAACCTTTTAACACAGCCAATCATATCACCAGAAGGAAAATACTGTTGACTGACAAACTCCTTTGTTTTGTTAAAAGTCTCGGCTATAAAGATTGGGAAGCGGCTGGGCTTTAATTAAACTGAAAGAAATTTCTGTTGCGACAAGAATTTTCAGCACGCATATACGATCATCCAACATTTCACAACGGACGCTTCAACATATGCTCAAGCATTTTCCTTGGAAAGAAAATCGTTTTCTCCTTCATAATCCAATCCTCTTCGTTGATTCCAGCTCTTCACATGAGTGAAACGTCTATACCACCCAATTGAAAAGGCGTAGTGGTGAACGGTTATAAAGACCACTCGACATTCATCCTTCGTTCCTAGACTGTGGTTACATACATTTGTTAAAATCAAACTTGATTGAAAACGTTCATGTAAAGCCAAATCATGAATAATTCAAATTGCAACACCAAGCTACAAAACTCAAGTTCCACGGCTTTACAAGTCAAAGATCCACTTTATTCTGCTATTATCGTTAATATCGTCTTCAACAGTTGTCTCTGTTATACCACGATTATGCTGAACATTGTCACCATCTACGCTCTAAGGAGAACGTCTTCACTTCCAAAGCCTTTCAAAACATTGCTTCTAAGTCTTGCAGCTTCTGATCTTGGTGTTGGTTTACTGGGTCAACCTTTACGTCTCGCCTATCTGGATGTGAAATTACAATGCAGCCTTTCTAATCGGCCCATTCTTGTTGCATCTACTCGTGTTATTTTGAACATTTTTTATTTATCTTCCTTTTGTAGTGTTATGGCTTTAAGTGTGGATAGATTCTTTGCCATTCAAAAGCCTCTACGATACCAGGATTTGGTAACTCACAGGCGAGTTGCTATTGCTGTCATTGGAATATGGTCTGTCAGTGCACTGTTAGGGCTGTCCTTTGTGTTCGTTCTTCCAGGCAAAATCACTATTGTGATCATTCTCATCATAGAATCCGTCTGTTTTATTGCAACGACTTGGTCTTCCTATAAGATATACATAACTGCGAGACAACACAACATACAAATTCAATCCCAAACACGACGAAATAGCGGCATGCTAAATATTGTGAGTCTCAGAAAATCTGCCCAAAGTACTCTTTTCATCTACGTGGCATTTTGGGTTTGTTATCTGCCCCACTTTATTTTGACTGGTCGTCTCATACACGCAGGGCGAACTATGACTTTAAGCACGTTGAATCATTTCTTCGGAACCCTTGTACTCCTTAACTCCTGCCTCAATCCCGTCATTTACTGTTGGAGGATAAGAAATATTCGACACGCTATAATAGAAACTCTTCGAAACATAAGGAGGGGGAAGTAATTGTGCAGCCGTAGATAAATACTTTGTTAAAATATATGAAGGGGCTCTAAGATGTTTTTAATTTCTGATTATTTTCCAGAAGAACGAAAGACATTTAAGAAGAAAACGCCTTTGAAAAATTGAGAAGAGACCGAGACGAAAGTCAGTGTGCTTGAGTTTCAGGCCAGCTGTAAACATCATTCAGCTGATATCGTTTGAGCCACTCGGCAAAGCATTCAAAGTGCAAACATTTTTAATTGCAACGCTTTTACTCATGACAAGTTTCTCGATTTCTTAAGTACCAGGCACTATCAGTGACAATATTTTACTTTTTCGTCCTGCTCTTTAAAAGCGTTTGTAAGTTGTAATTATGCTAAAGCCAGGCAGGAGGATTCGATGTCTTGTGGAAAAGAAGAAGCATCGTCAAGAGCATGGATGCGCAAACACAGTGACATCCATGCCCAACAATCTCACAGCCGTAGCTAGGCTTAAATTCTTACCGAGGAAGTTTCAGAAACAATGCTTCATTTATATTGAATTTATTCTAATGCAAAATAAAATCTTACGGGAAATTTTCACAGAAGAAAGTAATGCGCCAGCGGAGCACCATGGGCGAAATTTGTGGTTAAAGTTGTTGTAAGTTGCAGTATTGCAAACAAATAATTCTCCGTCGGTTTTCTGGTTTTCGCCGAGCTTCACGTCTAACACTAATAAAACTGTAATTGTAAATACTGTAAGGCGGGTTTTGAAGTTTTCTCAGTTGCGTTAGTAGGAACAGCCGCTTTGCAGATTGCTAAAATGTCTTCTGTTACGGTTAAAAACCAAGAAAGTTCAAGGATATCAAACATTTAAGGCTTTAATCTCTCATAACGTTCCAGTCCAATAGCGAAATTAGAACTGCTTACGAGCACACCCCGGGGGGGGGGGAGGGGTACTTGGGTCAATCTTTGTTGGGTATGTGCCGCTGGCCTCTCAGAACCCCTACTCCATTATAGTCATATTCTATGGCCAATTATAGGTCCATCTTAGTCATTTTTGCCTCCCCCCCCCCCCCCCCNGGGTCAATCTTTGTTGGGTATGTGCCGCTGGCCTCTCAGAACCCCTACCCCATTATAGTCATATTCTATGGCCAATTATAGGTCCATCTTAGTCATTTTTGCCTCCCCCCCCGGGAGCACACGCAGAAGCACGGTACTGTAAAGAACCGACGTTCATTCTTACCTCCTGTGAATAAGTAAATTTCTTGTTCCAAAATTAAACGACGTTCGAGAAAGAATCATGCAGAACAGTTCTCTTACCGGCGCGGAGCTACAGAACTCAGGTTCCACAACTTTGCAACTTGAAGGTCTGCTTTAATCATCCTACGTGGCTAATATTGCCTTCTTCTATGGTTGTCTCTGTTATCCCACCATAGCACTAAACATTGCCGAGCATCCACAATCTGAGGAAAACAGTTTTGATATCAAAACCATTGCGAATATTAGTACTTAACCTGGCTGTCTCTGATTTGGCTGTTGGCTTACTGGGTAGGCCGTTATATGTTTTACGTTTCAAGGTTCTAGACCCAACTACCTTCATCCTTTCATCGCTTATCTGGAATTTACTTCATCTGTCTTCGTTTTGCAGCATTCTCGCCATGCATGCAGACAGATTCGCCGCTATTCACATGCCGTTACGATACAACGATCTTGTGACCTTTAAACGAATGCCTATCGTGGTCATCGCAACATGGCTGTTTAATATTCCTCTCGTGTCGTTCAGTGTTTTATTGACGCCACCCAGTTCGAGAATTAATCTCGTCATTTTTGATATCATAATATTATTTTGCCTGCTTACTTCGACAATGAGACGACATAAAATGGAAATTCAAGCTCAAGTACAACAAGTAGCACAAAATACGAGCGTGGAAAATCTTGTGAGACTCAGAAAATCTACTCACAGTACAGTTTGGATTTATCTCATATTTTGTGTTTATTATCTACCTAACGTCCTCATTGAAATTATTGACGCGGTATACGGATACGGTAGTGCAAGCATAGTTTTATACACATTGAATATCTATTTGGTGACGCTGATGTTTCTCAATTCCTCCCTCAACCCTGTTATCTACTGTTGGAAGATAAGACACATTCGACACACAATGCTTGGAATACTTCAAAGCATATCTAGTACGTTAAGGCCCCAGCAGTAAGCTGAGAGCGACAGTGGAGCCGAGTTACAACAAGGATTTAAAGACGGTTATATCTTTGATTACCTCAGTAACATAGCGGAATAGAAGTTGTATTAAAAAATTGAAAGTATAGCCAGATGACTGGAAAACCCTACAGCAATAGAAGTGATTTTAATAAGCCTGATCAGTTGTCCGAGCTTATTGTATTAGATAGGGCAGTTTTCAGTTGAATGTCGTAAAACCAAAACCAAATTAAACTCTCTGCCCGATCACATGAGACAGAGATAGACAGACGTTGGTACTAATAAATACTCGAAGCAAAGATATGTAGACGTCATGAATTTGACGCGACGCGTGGGGAAACGTGTGCGAGCGAGTCATGATTAGGTTTGGATTTACTTCTAGTTGCACGACAATGTGGCGAGGGTTTTTTGACCTAATCATGTAGCGTAGTAATGTAAAACGAAAGAAAAATGGAATTACTTTCTACGATCAAATGAAATTGTTTAAAAGCAAGAATAAGAACGCTGAATCGTGCGCCTGAAAAGCATGATCCTGCATGGTCAGTTACAACATTTTATATTTTTCAGATTGCTTCTTTGAAGAATTCATTATAATGAAACTTTAAAAGACAACTAGGAGTATTTCATAAAAAAACAGCTTTTAAGTTGTTATTCACGTTTTTATACAGCGAACATATGTTATTTTTTATGTCGATCAAATTCCTATCAAGGTTGACATAAAATAGACGATGCTGCCATGATGAACCTAATCATCAAAGAAATTAACAATTCAAATATGCATTGGTGGGTCTAACGGAGAAGCTCGGTAAAGGCAGAACGCTAAAAAAAGCACCAATCATTATCATTTCAGCACAAAATGCACCAAAAAACCACAAGGTGTTTTGTTTTATAAGAAAGGTTAAGCACGGTGTTTGCAGCAAACGGCAAACGGCAAAAATGAAACTTGTGCCGTCCCTCTTCAGTTGTGTGTACAGTAGAGAGAAATTACTTGTATTTGCAATGAATAGTAGGAGAAGTTATTCCATTTTTGTCTGCTTTATTTACGGATTAGAAGAAAAGAACTCAAATTCAAAGTTGTCTTTGCCGTTTGCCGTCTGCCGTTAACGTCATGCTTAACCTCTCTGTAGACAAAAGAGGCTGTTCGCAGGTTAAAATTTTGAAGATGTAAGATCTGTCGGGGGTCAAAATAGATGGGAAAAGGGCGCTTAGGACGACAACTTGATAAGTGCACGCTCGCTGCCAGCTTCCAAGTTGCCCTTGTTAGTCATGATTATGATTCCGGATGTTTTCTTCGGCTTAGTTTATAATCTGGCCGCTTCGCTGTTGTTAGCCTTGCAGACTTAATGTTTCTGAAAGTTTTCTGAATTACGTGGAAAACCTTATGCTAATTACCAAACTGCGTCGAAAACTGATGACAGGGAAAGCGTCTCAGCAAGGGTGTTTGGTGAATGAAAACACCTTTCTAGTAACGAATCAAATTTAGCTCAGATGTTGGCTAAATAAATGACAGAATTTTGCAAATGCGCTTATTGTAATGTAATCCACAAGCGTCCATGAACGAATATCTATTACTCTGTATGTACTTACTAGCACGTTTTTTATTCTGTATTTTGCCCGTTCAACTCATTGAACGGGCAAAATACACTCTACGTTTTCTTTTGCTTCGTTGTTACACCCCAATGCAAAACACAATCTCTTTAGGAGCCTTCATTTCAAGCAAATCCCGAATCTTAATCGCGAAACAGCGGGACCTGTATACCGCCTTTAATGGTTCAGAGACATGTACAAACCAAAGGTGCCAATTAACTTTTTATTTATTTTCCCGGCTCAAGTTGACCAGTTCTACTTGTGTCTTACAACGTAGAAAGTTACTTTCAAAGATCGTTTTGAAAATCCTTTCTCTGCTTATTGGCATATAGTCTCTGGTTATTTCGGGTTAAAGGGTAAAATAAAAAAGTAATAAAAAAAGATAACATTTTGCTCACGCACAGCCACAGCTTGACATAACTCATTTAAGGAACCCGACTAGGGGCATTAATCGTTTATAGTGACTAATCACATCGAGGATTTCAACGCCGGACATAACTTAAGTCAGTTTCTTTGTTGTGTTAATAATTTGCAATAGAGGGCGGACACCTGCAAACGTATGTGTATAAAATTCAGTTCAAGTTTCATCTTTCGAATCCTCTTAGTATCTCAAAAGAAAATTGTTTTCTCGTTATGGTATAGAGATTTAATGGAATCTTCTTCTCCGATTCAGTTCTGCCTCACTGAAAGGGCTTTGTCACGGCTAAACGGACACGCTCAGTAAATTCGTCCATCGGCTTTGTGGCTCAGTTTCAAGCCCATCAGCATCATGAATAATTTCATTTGCAGCTCCCAGCTACACAACGCAAGTTCCAAACCTTCAAAACTAGAAAATCCGCTTTATTCTTCAATCGTTGCTAATATTGTCTTCAATGGCTGTCTCTGTTATACGACCATCATGCTTAACATTGTCACCATCCACGCTCTGCGAAAAACATCTGCTCTGTCAAAATCCTTAAAAGCGTTCTTGCAAAGCCTTGCTGTCTCTGATCTTGGTGTTGGTTTGCTGGGTCAACCCTTAAATATCGCTTATCTGGTCGCATTATTACGATGCAACTTATCAAATCATACCATCCGTGTCGCTTGGCAAGTAGTTCTGAATATTCTTTGTCTATCTTCCTTTTTTTGTGTTATAGCCTTAAGTACAGAAAGATTCATTGCCATTCAAAAACCTCTTCAATACCAGGATATTGTTACTCAGAAGCGCGTTTTTACTGCCGTCATTGCAATATGGTCTTTAAGTGCATTTCTAGAGCTATGTTTTTTCGTTCTTCCAGACAATACCAGTGCTGTGATTTTTCTCATGATCGAATTCGTCTGCTTTGTTGCAACGACCTGGTCTTCTTACAAGATATACTTAACTGTGAGATACCACAACACACAAACACAAGCTACAGTACAACAGTTATCAGAAAACAGTGAAGTTGTAAAAATTGCCAGTACCCGCTCTGTCCAAAGTACGCTTTTGATCTATCTCGCATTTTGGGTTTGTTATCTTCCTCGATCCTCCATTTGGATTGTTCGTCAAATACAAGCAAGAAAAAGTGTAACTGTCACCATATTGGACTTGTTCTCGATTACCCTTGTTCTCCTTAATTCCTCTATCAA